ACTGAGTTCACTATCCTAAACAGGATCCTCATTTCTGTTTCCAGTCTGGCCTCTTACATGCAGACTCCAGTAGTCCGACAAGTACTATTGTACATGTGGAAGAGTTAATGAATGTTGAACTCAGGTACCTTTGAACAGATGTATCACATTTTGGCTTTTAAGTACAGAGATGCAGTCCTAGCCTTGCCCCTACATCAGCTTTCATCTTCTTATTTATTTATATGCCGATGATTTTCTTCCCCAGGCACCTTATACTGGCCCTTCTCAGTGTAAGGTATCAAATACAAAACTTCCAATTTGGGAAGTCATATATATAATTATGTAAGGAAGTAGATATGTTCAGTAAATAGAACTTGGACTTGGTTCCTGTAAAACAATTACTTTGTTAGTTTTTCCCTGTTTTTCCTTTTCTAACATCAGTTTTATTAACATGAAGAATATACCAGCAGTAAATTTAACAGAGAGATAGAAGTCTTTCATTTTTGTGATGTTACCTGGGAGCAACACACTTTCTAGTTTCTTTCATGTCTCAAGTACTGATGAAGGGATGAGATCAAAGTTAAATACATTTCAAAAAACAGCCTGATTGTGTAAAACAAAAAAATCCAAATCCTTACCATGTTTGGTAGTAACAGAACAAAAACCTATCATTATCAGTAGCCTCATGCAAGCTCATGAACTGCCACTGCATTTATTAATTGTATAATCACTTATTTAAACCACTGTTGTGCTCCTGCATCTTTACCAGGTGTCTCTTTCAGAGGCTCCCTCCCTCTCTGGTCAGGGACCTCTTCTAACTTAACTACAGGTCACCTCTAGGCAATGTGCCCTCATTGGGGTTATCATTGCAAAATCACAGGCTTTTCATAGAATCTTTCAAAATGAACTGGGACAACCAGGTATGCAAATAAGCACATCAATAATATTTTTAAAGCATTTAAATTATTTAGGCATATCAATTCCTTATGCATATCTATACTGAATATATATGGTGTATATACTGAATATATATTGGTGTAGCTATGTATCCAACTTTCTTTGTAAATATAACTTCTAAATACTAATTTCTTCACCCTTCATAAAATACATAGCAATAATCTTTACTAACTTTGGAAGGGCTATCAAGAATGAGCTTTGTGTGTAAAAACTGTACAGGAAGATTTTTTTTTTCCTGATACCTTAATGTTTGGTTACATCCTTTGTATTATTTTCATTCTTTTTTTAATCCTGTGCTCAAGAAGACTCTATCTGAACTGCATTGCCATGGATATTGTTTTAAAGAATAAAACTTCCTTAACTTTTCTTTTAAGATTGAGCATCTTAAACATGATCCTCAAGGTACAGGGACAGAGCAAAACATCATCAAGGAGCTTCAGCTTTTAAGGTAATATACTTCTAAACTAACTAAACAGCTCAGCCAATATACATGAAATAAGATCAGGAAATGGCCACTGCAATTTTCAGTTAAATATTTTATGTTTTAAAATACTTCAATAATTTAAAAAAACATATTTTAATATTCCAGATCAACTAATAATCAATTAGAGAAAGAAAAAGCAGAACTACTGCATCTGATGAAGACTTGTAAGCATGAAGGACACATCTCTACAAGTGAGGGTCCTGCAGCTGGTAATAATTTTCGATACCTTAAAATAATGATATTCTTGTATTTAGGGTCAAAACTACCTAATATTTGTGGGCAAAATTATGATCTACAGAATTATTTGAAGTAGATGAATGCTAAAGCAGTGTAAACTGAAGCAGATTAGGGTGTCATGGTTTGACACTGGCATAATGCCAGTGCCCTCATGAAAATGTAACTTCTCAATTGAATGCTGTGAAATGTAATTAGGAATAGAGCAGAGTAGGCCTAAGCTTAATAACAAAGGAAAAACTTTTTTAAATTACTACTACTATAATAGGAAAAAGAAAGAAAAAACACACACTAAATCCAAAATTAAAATCTTCCAAAACATTCTTCTCTCCCCCCTAATTCTATCAAACTACAGTCAGACACAACTTGGACTCCTAATCAGGTTCTTACTTTTCAGATAATCAGTACTCAGTCTATTAAGGGAGAGGAGTTCTTCTTGTGTCATAGACTCCCTGAGAAACACAGTTGTTACTTCTCGTGTTTCTATGTCACACATGGCACTGCCTGGAGAAGAATTTGCTATAGTGACAACTCTCCTTTCCATGCACAGTGCTCTCACCACAGTGCATGGATGGACAAACTGTTTTTAGAATTTTTTCTTTTAAGGATGCTCTGCCAAAAAAACCCAACAGTTTAGTTTTTCATTTTTGGGACTACAGTCCCCCCCCATTTTCTTCTTTTTCTGGAGCTGAGGGTCTCAAGAACAGAGATCATCTTCTTTTTTATTTCTCTGAAGACAGGGGGTGTCACTACAAACTTCTCCAACTTTTCTCTGTTCACTCTACTTCTGTCTTTTTTCCTCAGATGCTGAAGCAGGTCTCTTGGCTTACTACGCATCCTCTTAAAATACAGTCTATTTCTTGGAGGAGAAAATTGGTTTAGTTTACGGCTAACAAGAAAAAGTCTAGCTAAAAAGCTACTCCATCATCTTCCCCCCCAATCTTCTTAACATCCCAGGTCCCAGGCTGTCTCTCTTCTTCTCTTAAACTGAGGAGTAGTAATATTTTTACAAAGCTTTCATTTTTTAAGGAAAGGTTAAAAGTCTCAGATTCTGCGGATACCTGGCTCTATGCCTGGATTTCTGTTTTTTATGGCTGGGCACCTCCCTTCGCTCCCCCTTGCTTTTCTCCTTCCCCACGGTGTACTGCTGGCAGACCGTCACTGTCTCTTTCTCTCTCTCTCCAGAGAGACTCTGGCAGGGGGAACAGAGACATTCTCTAGTCTTTTATCTGCAGGGGGCCAGCCTGGTTTTAGTCCCTCTACCCTTCGGCCTTACCTCAGCCAGGCCGTGGGCCTTCCCTTCCCCTACCCAGCCACCTGGCTGGGCAGGGGAGTCTGCACCGCACTCTGACTGGAACTAAAGAGAGCAAGTTTTCTTGGGAATTCTGCTTTTAACCCCTCTGTGTTCTCAGAGGCGCATTCAGTCTTCAATTGGTCATCTTAAGCGCTAATATCCAACTTCAATCACTGACTGGCTTAACCTTTTTCTTTTTGAGAAAATCTCTTTCTGTGTCAAACCACAACATAAGGTCTTGGATTTTTGGGTACATACACAAGCTTTTTGAAGAGAATTTCCAGTAAAAATCTCCATAATCAATTATTTTGACCAACAGGCTGTAAACTTTATATGATTTTCCCCTCACAAGAAGGTGTGTACTACCTGCCCCCACTTACTTTATTAACCTCAAAAGACTGTAAGATGTCATTCATTCACTGCAGTCCTCTTTCCTACACCTCTGGCTTTGGGTTCCAAGATGCTAGAGGATGACTATTTATTTCCAGTTACCAGCTCTGTTAAGGATTTAAGACCTAGCAGGCATCAGTCCGATGGGAAAAGCAGAGCACTATGGAGCAGCACACTGCCATATGACTGAAGGAAAAAATTGAAATTATGAATATATGCAACAAGATCCTTACAGTATTTCCAAATTTCCTGCATTTAATTCAGAGGATTTATCAAGTTGTATTTCTCAAAGGTGTGCCAACAGGCTGGCCACTGGGCTACTGCATTCAATCACAGGAACTAGACACCATTGCCTAACAGGTACAAGAACTAAGGAAAAGCCCAGGTGACTTTGTTTGGTGATCCCAATTGCTTTTATTTAACTGTTTGATCTTTCAGGAGATGCAGAATTATTGAAACAAGATTATTTGTGCCATGGGTTTTTGCTACTTAAAATTTAATTTAAAAATCACTATTTTTGCAGGACATAATGAAACTGTAGAGGATAAAATTGACAAGCTGCTGACAGAAATAGATGACCTCAAGTCACAACTGGAGGTTACAGAGCTCGACAAACAGAAATTAAAGGTGAGCTGCAAGGATCATCCTAGGCAAGATAATAAGCAAAACTATGGTTAGCTAGAAAGAGCTGTTTAATAGCTGAATTAATAATTAATGACAAAGTCAATTTTTAAACACTGTTTACAAAGCCTGTTTTGTCTTTATGAAGGCACTGTTTATAGGTAGAGTTTTTTGCTTCTGGACAAGATTGTTATTCTCTCATCATATAATCGCTCAAGACAAAGGCAAAAAAAGGTGTTGTGCAGTATTAACAAAGTTCTGGATAAAGGTGGTACTCCATTCTTTTCAACAGGAAGAGACAAAAGAACTGAGAAGAGAACTAGAAACCTATAATCCTTCCTTTTTTGAAGAACTTGAGGATCTAAAATATAACTACAAGGAAGAAGTCAAAAAAAATATTATCTTGGAAGAGAGACTGAAGCAGCTTTGTGAAGAGTCTGGCATTCAGGATAGTTCAGGGTAGTGTTCAGTATTCTCATCATTGATGCAAAAAATAAAATGGTCTGTGTTTATCTTGGAATTATACAAGCCTCTTAAAGTTATGTTACACACACCAAAGAGTGCAGAATTGAATTATAAAACAGTTCATTGACAGTATTTATATACAACAGTCAAAACAAAAGCAAGTTTTACCTCTCCCAGCTCCTGTGCAATAATATCTTTTAATTCAGAACAGTTAATTTGGGTAATAAGGTATCAGGTGAAATTGAAACTTCGGGCTTCTCTTGAAAGTTAATAAACCTTTAAACTGTCAGCATACTTTAGCATATAAGTATGCTAAATCCCAGATCAGGAATTTGCTCTTGTTGCCTTGTGCAACCATAATGTTTAATTCTGAACTCAGGATGAGTGTGCTGGATGTCTGTTTTTACATTCTTAGTTATTTTTACCTCAATGTTAAAAAACAAAGAACTTAAAATGAGGCTATAATATTTCAGCCAAACCAGTGGTATTTTTGTACATAACTAATTGTTCATTTTGTTTATTTTATATTGCTGGATGTATACTTTTGTAGCAGAGATGAAATAAAGCCAACTCAAATGATCATTCAGTCTCACCTTTATTATTTATATACCTTATATTACTTAATATGCCTGTGATAAAGTTTCCTAATTGAGAAACAGTTGTAAATAGGAATTATTAAGACAAGTCATGTCTCTCTTCACTTACTAGGTTCTCCAAAATAAAACTAGCGTATTTTCTATTATTTACTCTTTTTGTCCTAAAATAGTGCAAATGCCTGTAGGATACAGGTTAACTGGGTTTTTAAATAATAGCATAATGCTGCAGATGTACAGTTAAATGATACCAGGAAGTTTTCCCCCATAAGAAACTGTTACAACTTTTAAAAAAGTTGTCAAATTTTAGGACTAATTCTGGTCCCAATTGAAATATGTCTTTTTACAGTTAAGAAGCTTGATGCTAAGTCTCAAACCAACATACAACAATAATTACATTTGTAGAAGCACAACTTATGTAACTTTTCCAGTTGATCACACTCATTAGTAAAGCTTTTAGGACCAGCCAGGGGTAGAAAACATACTTCCTACACTTAATGCTAACAGTTTCCAGGAATGTGTTCAAAAGTTAAGGATTTTTCAAAAAATAAATATGCTGGAAGCTAGATCTCTGCTCTGGCTGTCGCATCTCTGTTATTTAAAATTAGTCATTTAGGATAAACTTAAAATGATACAGTATTAGTTGGGCTGTTGCCTCAGCTTGAAGAGATTCATAAAGAATTCTGTGATAGACACACCTAAGAGGAATGCAGGACATACAACAATTAACTTAAAAGAAAAAAATAATTTCAAGCATCAAACTTGATATCTTTGAGTCTGTCAAATCTTTGTCCATCCAACATTGAAAAATGGTGAAACAAACTCTTTGGTTCAAAGTCATAGTCACATTTAGTTCTATTAAAAGAAATTACAACAGGTTGAGAATTCAGGTATGTTTCTGCAAGTGGCCAAGGTAAACCAAGATGATGGCGATGGAGCTAAAAGAAAAGGAAAGAAGATAAGTTCAGCCATTTTGATAGAGTAGCACAGCAATTCCCAGTCTGGAAGTGTGTGTGTGTCTGTGGATTCTAGGATCCTCTGCATTAGGGCATAACATGAACAACAACAAAGCCCAAAAGGCAAACCAAGGTGTCCTCCACAGGTTCAGAAATAATACAAACCTGCTAATTAATCAGAAATCACATTCTTATTAATAATACTTGTTCTATTAGTCAACATTATGAGAACTTAATTTTTAAAAAGAGGAATTAAGCTTTAAAACAAATTATTTCTATACAGAGGGGCACAAAAATATGTTCTCAATTACTTTATAAGCATGTTGGGAATGAAAAAGTTCAATATGTTATGTTGTTATTGTAGTGAGTCAGTGGCTTCGCTAATTGTACTGTCATCTCATTTGTTGGAGAACATTTACTGTTAAAGAATTTAGAAAAAAAGACAAAAAAATGAATACAATACTTCACATTTTATGAATTCTTACAGTGCTTTACCACATGTCCATCCACATACTTATCTTGATTAAACACCCATCAGCGCAGTGCCACACAATTCCTTCAACTTTACCCTCCATACAGGTTTCAAACCAAGACAGTATGTCATTTTGCTTCAAGGCAGGTGGATTCTTTATTTCAAATGCTCCATGTGGGACCAGAAGATGTACAGGGTGCTTCTTGTTTCCCAACCCTACATTTAAAGAAATATATACCTTCCTTCTAGTTACTGTGTTCCCTCACTTTTGTTACTGCAGACATTTTTAAAGCACTCTGTAAAGGTAAACTTCTATTAGATACTACAATATTGTCCTGCCTTTAACAGAACAGTAATTACATTTTTAAGTATCAAATGCAGCTGTCTCTCCTCACATTTTAATTTATGTTTTTTAAAACCTCATCCTCCTTTGTATATAATAAACATGACACAGATTTATACAGTAGTCTGTTTTCTCATTGTGGTCACCTCCCCAGTCACCATAAAGCTACCAGCTAAATCCTTCACACTTCAGGACACGACCAATGGCACAAACACCTTAGTTCCTGAAAATCTGGCATATCTTCTCATGAATACTTAAAACTGGGCTGTTAACAATTGCATTGCCTTTTCCTATTAACATATATCTTCATTTAAGGACACAGCTATTAGAACTTTTTGTTGCAATTCTTGTACATACTGAGGAAATGCTTAGGACCAGGTAAGACTATTTTTCCTATGCATCCTTGCAAGTTACCCTAACAGCAAAGCACAGAAGTTAAAACTCACATGTGCTCATACGTAATTGGTTTCTCATTATAAGGCCTTTAAAGAAAGAAGCCATAACTGAAATTTAGCCTAAATTACATTTCTTAAAAAAAAATCCTATTTTTTAATTTTAAAATTGCAACTTGTGACTAACTTTAGGGGCTCCAAAAAATAGCTGAATGAAGTTTTCTACTTCAATTCATCAAAAGAGCATGCAAAAAAAGTGAAGACTTCAAGAAACAAACTTAAAAAATTATACTAGTATTTTAATAGTAATATTTACAACAGTTTACCCAGACAAAGTATTTTTTGAAAGGCAAAAGCAATGCATTTTTATAGTAACTGAGGTTTAATAGACATAACTAGTCCCTTGACAACTCAGCTTTCTAAGGTTAGTATTTCTGGGTGAGAGTTCCTTCAGCCAGCCCCTTCTCTCCTTTCTAAGAAGGTTGCTACTGGAAAACTCTTTTAAAAAACTTACACAAAGAAAATGCACTGACTTCCCTCAAAAATACCACTTAGAAAAAAAAGTATTTAAGAACAGACTGTACAAACTTACCATATGGATTTGCATTGATATTAGTTCCAATAAGCTCCAATGTTTGTTCTAAAATTTCTGATAATGGCACGGGACTGATTTCCAGAACCCCTGGATCAGCATGGTGTTTCAATACCAGTGCTACTCCAGCCTCATAATTTACAACAGATGAGTGCCAGCAGTACTGCTTACTATTCTTCTCCACGGGCACCCAACCTATGAGAAAACACTACATTTTACCAAAGTACATATCTGATGTTAACTAAATGCATACTAGAAGCTGTTACATGCATTAAAAAAACCCTATTTAGTTAACTAAACAGAAAGAGTAAAAACTGTTGTATCTCAGAAGAATGCAAACATGACAATTATGCCTTCAGCTGAAGGCCTGTAAGTTTGTACAGCAATCTGCAATTATTTCCATGTGTCAGAAGAACAAAGCATTTCTGGATGGTGAATTAATGACACAACAATTTTTTTTTCTGAATATGTTAGCTACTATTTTTATCTCTGGAATTAATTGTAATTCACTTCAGAAATTCACACACACACCTTTCCCCAGTTTTACCTGTACTGCGTCATAGGTACCTGGCATATGTCCATTTTCATCGGGCAAAGGATTGCCATTAGAGAACTCTATGTCCTTTGCTGGAATCCAGGTATCTGGAACAGGCTTGAAATCCTCTTCAACATTCCAAACAAATTCTGGACATAAATGCAACACTTCGGTTTTGGTAAACTGTTAACCAACTTTGCTTTAGTTGTCTTTCAATGCAATTATCAAAATACAACTGATTTAAACCTTGTTTTACAGACAGTAGTCCCAATTACTTTGTACAACCACCATCTGTCACACTTAAGTGGTTTACCATTAGGCTAGTTTAAAGATGCATTTAACCTTTATGAAGATTAAAGGTTCAAAAATTAGGATTAAAAATTTAGCTACCTATTCCAGTTTAAAGCTCTTCAATGCAAAGGGTGATGTTAAAAAAACTGGAGCAGGATAACTGATTATTTCTCGTGTTAGTTGTTTTTCTAACTGGCTAACTTACATTGTCAAAAAGAAGGAAAGAAATATTCACTAACCTTTGCAATCTTCTAATGAATACAAGAATTGCTTAAACCTTTTTTCACCTTGTTTGGTGGGTTTTCGATCCAACCTGGCCCATAGATAAGGTAGTCCTAGGAGTTTCCAAAGACAAAACGAGCACTTTACTGAGGTGACCATACCCTGCAGAGTACCGAAATCAACTACGTAACAGGTAAAATAGGAATTCCCATCTGCCACTAGAGAAATTTTATAAGCAAAGCCATCCAGTATTTAAATTCAAAGTACACTATGTGAATTTCCAAATCTGCTTTAGATTCTATGTACACTCCTGCCTAGCAGAATACAATTTCCTTACAACTGCAGGTGAAGGCATGAGCCCCAGTGAGTCAATGAACCACAGTCTTCTCACTTCCTCCCAACCTCTGTACTTCTATAAGTCTCCCCCAAGGAAATTAAGACGCATGACCCAGTTTGCAAAGAAGACTTACTAATAGGAAGCTAAAAACTGGAATAGTTCCTGGATGTTCATATTCACTTAAGTCATACTTCATGTTTTAGAGACTAAATGCTAGAATAACTATAGAAACACCTTCTAAGTCTATGGTAACTATTATTTTGTGGTATTGAGTTCACAACAGCTGTAGATAAATCGTACCAAAAAAAAAGTGAAAAACTAAGTAAAACGAGTTCTAGTCAGCATGAGAAATCTGCAAATGGATCTTCATTACCTTTATACGTTGTTACATAACAGCAGGTTCCATCCACCTTTTCAGTAGGAACTGCATTGTGTACATCTGCCTCTAATGCCTTTCCAGTTATAGTGTCAGTTGCCAAAACTTTAAATGGCTGAAAAGAAGACAAGTTGCTATGTTACTGCCTTGCTCTCATACAGATTTTTGCTCATTTTACAGTTGGCCTCTATATATGCTGCTGTTTAAGTATTACACATTATAGGGCTGATTTCTAATAGTTTCTTCAAAACTTGATAGTTTGTAAAGTACTCTAAGACAGAAGAACTAGGGCAATCTGTTTGTAAAGTCTCTCCCTCTTTCCCATCCTTGATTATTATTTAGAGATCATTTTGCTTTCCACTTTAAACAGGGCATATAAACTTGAAGGGTTCCAGTCGAACACAGCAACATTTTGAGATCCACCTTCTTGCATTAGGGTGGCAATAGAAATTCATCCTGACTAGCTCTCCCCAGCTTTCAGTTTGGAGATTAAAGTCAATAGCACCATGTTAGTGCAATATACAGAGCAAGTGTGCTTTGGCAAGGTAGCAAAAGCATCCTGGTATTAAACACTTAGTATCAGTGATGTCAGTTAAACACTTTTGCACTTCAAAAGAGCAAAGAAATACATGATCTGTGGATCTTAAACAAACAGCCAACTAGTACAAATTTCTAGGACTTCAGTACAGCTTCTCTAACAGCTTTACTGCAAACATGCAATCAGTTGTGTTTGGATGCAAATCTTTTTCTCTATAATCACCATACCTCCCTCTTCTCTCCCCAGTCAACTCTGTCTTTTAATTTGGACTCTTTCTGCTAGCAAAACACAAAGCAAGTCCTTGTCTTGCAGAAGTCTTGAAACAGAATGGGGAATTCATATAATGAGAATCTGTGTTACATGACATGACTGTTTCATACTATAAGATGTGTAACCATAACAAACAGCATATATGAAGATTACATCAAAAATTTCAGGGTAGTGACAAAACATTCCCATTGGTTTTGCCACCCCCTTTCTTCCCTACCAGTCATAATCACGTTTTATCCTTGCCTGAACTTTAAAATCCAAAGCAAAAACCAAATCAAAGCAACAACAAAAAAAAATACAAAAAAACCCAAACCGAAACCAACCAAACAAAAATGGCATGTGCCAGTTCCAGATCTATTACCCTGTTGCATTTATCTGTGTGAAGAATCATCAGTACAGGGAAGTACCCCTGTATTACGATTATTGAGATGGTTTAACTCTGAGTTGAACGATTATGTTACTCTTGTTTTGGCAACCATTTCAGCTCTTTCATCCTGAAGCCAATCACTAATGGGAGAAGGTCACCCACAGTTGCAGTCAATCTCACTACACAGCTGCTACAGGGAACACAAGCTGGAGGTCTGCAGCTAGGCAGGTGAGTGTGCCACCCCAATGTGTCCACATCGCACAGCCTCATTCTTCTTCTATCATAAGCCTGATATTCCAGAAAGGAAACAACAACAAAGAAAAAACCAAAACCAAATAGGATACAAGGTCGTTTTTCTTTCTACGAGGCTCACAGGCGGCAATGGCACGATGGTTTCTCACAGGCTCCCCATGCGGTCATGCTGAAGTGGCCTTCACTTAGAAAAAGCAAACACAGCATCAGGGTGAACACCTGTATGCACATGCCATGAGAAGCGTAGGGCTGAGCTGACACGGCACTCCGACGGGCCTTCCTCTCCGCATTTCAGCGGGAGAACCCTCTGCAAGCCTCTCTCGCGAGGCTCCCTTACATCTACAGCCGTGGCTGGGGACTGGCACAGTCCGTGCGGCAGCGAGCCGCGGCCCAGCGACTCCCCCTGGGCTCGGGCACGGGCCCAGCCCCACCTGCCTGCCCCCCGTCCTCCCGTCCCGGTGCTGCCGCAGCCACCTGTCGCTCCCGCTTGGCCGAGGGCTCGTCCTTCACCTCGGTGACGAACAGACACGGCACCTTGCGCTGCACCGCGCCCCGCCGGCTCATGGCTCATGGCCCCGGCCGCTGCCGCCGCGCCTGCGCCCGCCCGCGCTGCGCCACGGGAAATGGAGTCCGCGGGGCGCTGCTGCTGCTGCTGCTGCGCGGGGCGGGGCCGCCTCCCGTCCGACACGGGCCCAGCCAAGCGCCGGCTCCGCCCGCCCGGCCCGGCCCGGCTTGGCGCGGCCCCACCCGGGGCGGCTGCGCTTTCTCCAACGCCGGCTCCTGCAATAGTAGACGCCTGTGGACTCCTGAGGCTATAGTTCTGCCAGGAACTTGCTCCAGCGCGGGCTTCTCATGGGGTCACAGCCCCCTTTGGGTGCAGCAGCCTGCCCTGGCGTGGGGCCCTGCGCGGGCTGCGGGTGCATCTCACCTCCATGCGCTGCAGGGGCACGGCTGCCTCGCCATGGCCTGCGCCACGGGCTGCAGGGACACTCTCTGCCCCGGCACCTGGAGCACCTTCTCTCTCCTTCCCTGACTTTGGTGGCCAAGGGTTCCTTCTCGCACACATACTCTCACTTCTGCCTCTGACTGTTGTATCTTTGTGTTATCAGAGATTTGTTTTTAAGACAACAGTTGCATCAGCAAAAAAGAAGTTGGGTATTTAAGCTTCACTAAATTAGTTAGTTCCATTTCACACTAAAAAAGCACCAGAATGGGCAATTCTTTGAAATTATGTGATATTCTATATTTTACTGGGATGCAATAGAGAGAAAGGAAGGTGTTCATCCTGGACAGGCCATGTAGCAGCATCATGCTGATGTCCCAAGCTGGAAGAGCAGTTGGCAACTGTTAAAATGCAACATTCCATCCTGGCTAACAACTGCTCTCAGTTCAGTTCAACAGTTCAGCCTCATGGAGAAGGTACCACATGCTTCCTTCATTCCTTTTTTGTTTTAGCTATACTATCCACTGAATTTTATGTCATCTGAAGGTTTGGCATTTGCGAGAAATCTGCTTTCGGGACAAGATGATTTGCCTGACTGCCAATAGCTTTAATTCAAATAAGTACTTACATTCCATCTGGTAAAAATCCAGGGATGGTTTTAGGGCTCTTGGTTATTCCATCCATTTTTAAGGGTCAGGGAGTTAGGTGTTAATGCCTGGGAGATAGCCTTTGTGTCTCAGGGGGTGGCCCAATTGTACTGACTACAATCCAAAAGTTTTTAGAGGTGCTGCTCTTAAACACAGCTGTTAATGTCTGGAACCTTCCAAATATTCCAATATTTTCAAGCACAGCCTTGTCTTAATTAAAAAATTACTCAGAAACTCATTAAGAAATAACCCTCAGCCTGGCATTTACAGTTCTCAGGTGGGATGCCATTCACATCCAGGATATAAGCCTGAGTTTACATAATTAGGGTAAATCTCATGAGCCCTTGCCTCTTTGGAATTATAAGTTTATCATATGTTTGAGAAAGATACCTTGGGTTATAAGGATAAGTGAATTGTATCATCAGAGATGGTGCTAAAAATTGCGAACTCTGGTAAGACAGAGATGCAGAACAACAGTTTTATGTATGACTAATGGAAGTGACTCATGTTGTGAAAGTGTGATCTCTGCAATATTATGCAGACTTTTTAGCCACATTGATCAATAGAGGGACCGTAGCAATATGAGTATGAGTAAAGAAGCAATAATTAAACAAATCCATGTAGACAGTCTGTTATTCACAGTAGGTTTTTGTTTGTCATCTTTAAAACAGCTGAAGCTGAAAGATGGTGTGAACAGTGTAATAGCAGCAGTGCCAACATTAAGTACCAAATTTTTTTAGTTTTTGTTGGGAATCTTTTTGGGTTTTGTTTCTACCACATGTTCTCCCATAGATTCATGTTCTTTAACAGTAAGGCAGTACAAGCACAAGATTTGCACTTGTACAGCACGTTTCATTGGAGATTGATCTAATTTTTCCATTGTACAGAAAAGTAAATTCAGCCACATGTCAGTTAAATGAATTAAGAGTTTTTTTTTCCTTCCCACCAGCTCATGAAAAGTCTGCAGTAAACTAAGTAGACTGTCTTACCCTTATTCTAATCTAGAAACAATTTTGCATCACCAAACACCATTTACTTAACTCAGTAACTTTAGAGCTGTTTACAGTTTATGACAAAAGTCATAAAAGATAATTTGAAATGTTGTAAACTATAAGAATGTGGTCCCACAAAATCTTGGTCATATATTTATAGCAGTGTGAACTGTCATATATTCAATCCTATGTTCACACAGCATGTATTAATCCATTTATTTAATTTTGATTGTTATATTTACAACACCTGAAAACTGTTTTCTCCTGCAGCAAAACTACAGCAAATTCTCCTGTTTCTGGGAGACAGAGCCCGTAGGCTGTAGGAGGATAAGCTGTGACTTCTTTCACAGAAAACCCCGTAATATAAATGGACTTTATTTGCCACCTAGTAACAGTGAGTAAAAATATTTTCTCAACAATTTGTTAGAGTAACAAAATAGACAAAAGTGTCCTTCCAGTGCTTATGTAAGAAAGCATAAGAAAGCATTGACTTAAGATCAAGAAATGCACCATGATGAATCAATCAGGTATGATCTAACCCAGCAAGTTTAAGGGAAAGAAAGGAATTTGAATAAGATTGCCACATGATTTATTTTAGCTGTCATATTATGAATCTTCATACCTATTAGTAATACCAAAGATGAAGTTACATTTAGGTTGCTGAGACCCATGGAATAAGATTTTTGCTTAACTTGAATTTCTAATAGGTTAAATCTCTCTAGTAGTTCAAATAGTATGCAGGTAATAATTTAAGAGAAATCAAACGTAATGTGTGTGATGGGAGGAGGAGGTTGGTAGGGAAACCAATATCAGGTGATAAAGCACAAGAAGTATGGACAAGACACCCTTGTAGGGATAACATCAGATTACAGAGCTGTTTGTGCAGATATATTTCCAGTTCGTTGTTTTGCATAAACATTTAGGGCTTGAACATTGGTTAAATATGACTGAAGTACTGTTGTAAGGTAGCACTCTTATTTTTGGAAACAAGTTGGGTTTTTTCCCTCATCCATTTCTAAGAGTAGCTCTTGACTACCAGAAATCCTGGTAGACAGCTGGAACCTGGACCAGGGTAAGAGTCCAGGGCAAAGAACAAAGACAGCTGTCAGAGGCAGGAGTGATTAGAGCAAGTCACCATGAAACCTGATGTTCTTGAAATTGCCCCAGGAAAATGTAGGCTGTCATATCTGGGCATGTGGAGCCTAACTAAGCACACAGGATCAAGGCAAGACCTGGAGTGCTGTTTTTCCAAGTGCCCATACTGCCTTCAGCACAAGCTTTTGCCTGTGGTGCAAGTCAGAGACTGTACCCAAAAGGCTCTCTGGGAAAGGGTATCCTGTGCAAGAGCAATGTCTGACAATCACAGCTAGAAAACAGACCAATTGCTTTTTTACTGAAATACGTACGAATCCAAAGCCTGTGTGTGCCACAATAGCATTGCAGATACATAGCCTGCAATTTTTATTTTTTTGTTCTTATACTTAAAAATCATGTTAAACTAATTTAAGTTTAATTTGGCTTATTCTACCTGGAGCTAAAAATAGCCTGTTCTGAACATTGAAAAGGGCTCCGTCAAGTTAGTGTTGTATCCTAAATGATATCTTCACATCTCTTACATGAAATACAAGAAGTCTAATTTGCAATCATGTTATGTGAAAAGGTTTAACATGAGATACATGCTACTCATAGGCAAGCAAGAGATGCACAAGAATAAAAACAACTGGAATAATAGAAAAACGCCCACACGTTCTTCTTCAATATTTTTAATATAATGTGCAGAATACTGTGGTTGAAAATCAGTCAGCTTGAACAATACTCATAGGCTCACCATCTTTCATCATTTTACTTTTTAGTCCATTGTATTCCTGGTTATCCCAGTGCTAAAGCCTTTTTGATGAAAATATTATGTGTGGAGATAAATTTCTTAGGAAAATCATATAGTTTATGATTTTTTTTCTGATTAAGTGTAAATTATTTTTGTCTCACATTCCTTAACAAAATCTACATTTTGTACCTAGTAATGAGAGTTGAGATTTAGTTTGATATAAAAAAAAGTCTTCAAATTTAAAATGAGCAATCCTGTGCTTAGCATTGCTAAATTCTTCAAAATTGTTACTGTAGGGATTGATACAGCATGTTTGCAACTTTTTAAAATAGTGCAGTGATGATAATGTTCCTCTTTTCAAAAGTCTGTATTCAGCAGCACCCATGTCCCTTCAGAGGAGTTGGCACCTGTGTTTTTCATACTTTCTGGAGTTGAAAGGTGCTTTCTTGCCAACCTCTGCATAAGATAATGTCTAATACTGATAATGTTTTCAGACGTGTGCCTGCTGCTGTCAACATGGATGTGATACTTTAGTTTCTTTCTAACAAAAGAAATTCAATGTTCTTGTCTGCAGATGTTCCATTGAAACAGGATGTCCAAGGAGGCATTCTGCATCCAGCCCATCGTCAGGACTCACTCAGAAATCAAGACAATGTTTTAGTACCAATTCATCCTCCACTGATTATAAACCTCGACGATGAAGAGGATGATGAAGAGGAAGATGAAGAGGATGATGACGAGGAAGACAACTGTAAACAGTTTTTTTTTTTTTATAAGCAAGTTGAATGGGTTTTGTCAGCTTTTGCAATGTACCTCACAACTGATTTGTTATAACCATGACATTTTAAGAAAAGAGTTGTTGAAAAGTTTTTTGAAATAGTTTTCAGCTAATATTTAAATGTTGGAACTGTTAGTCACCAGATGTGAGCAACAACTATTTTCTAATGCCTGTGATCCAATTCAAATGGCCATCAAAAACTCTTCAAAATTTTGGGGTGAAATTAGAAATTTAGGAGATACTTTGTTTCTGGGAAACACATTTTTGAACAAGGGCTATATGCACTCATCAGTGAAGATGAAGTCACAAGTTTTTTAAAAAAGATAGTTGTGTGACTTTAACTTAAGTAATTTTTTTAGCTGATTTACCAAACTCTGTAGACAGTCATTTTTTAGAGACAGTTATTCTTAAATTTAGCAAAGAGAATTGATGCAAAACTCTCCATTAGTTGAACTGAATGTTCTTACATATATTTACATATATATTAATACAGTTAAACTATTAACGTATCTCACTTAGAGATAAGAGACTCATAGGGATGGAACAAATGACACATTCCTGGAGAGTGAAAAGTGAAAGAATGACCTACTTTCAGGCATGCATTCAGCAAATTACCATGCTGCCCCAACCCACTTTTCACTTTCCCACTGCCCATCAGCTTGGCTGGTAGACTAGTGTGTTAGTGCTTCCTAACTTGGTTTCAGCTTGAGTATGCCACTTAAACAGTATAGAAAGTAGGGCTTTGCTAATCTTCATAGCTTTAACTGAGAGATCTGGAGCACTTACTTCACCAGCTCTGCCAACAGGCATTACAGGGTAGAGGTTTTCTGACAAGCACTCTCTGGTGACAACTTGAATCTGATTTCCTTGTGAAAGATCACTTTGGAAATGAATTTTGGAGATATTTTTGAATCCTTTTGAATTAACAAACGTTTGATTTTTCAAATGCATTTTAACTGGAATCCCATTGCACTTGAAAATACCTAATATTAAGTAATCATTTTTCAGTCCAGAAACACAGTTGCAGTCAAAACCAAAAGTAACCAATGACAAAAATTAATTATCATATTTTATTATTAAGAAATATTTAAGGTCTTTGTGTAGTTATCTTGTAATCTTTTACAAATACTTCCTTCAGATGTTTCTAACTGGATGCCTAAGACTGTTATAGATATTGAAGAAGAAAGAGCAATAAGGGATCTATGCTATAAATCTGGTAAATATTAAATCAATCATTCTTTCCTTAAAAGCAATGCTTCCAATACAGTAAACTTTAGGGCTTTTTTTTTCCCCTCTTGGGGCATGTGTAGGAGAGTATTATGGGATTCAGAACCCTTACAAACACCAATCAACAGAAACCGTGTCTTCACCGTGGCGAGATGAGTTATTACCCTTGGAAACTACTGAACAAAACTTGCAGAAAGGCAAGTATTTTGATTTCTTTGGATTGTATTTACCACTTCTAAAACTGCTGTAACAGGGAGAAACTATTACACAGTTTGCACTTCCTCCCTGCTTTTTAAATTTAGTGAAAATAAAATATTGCAGAAAGATATTTGTATTTGTCAGCAAATTACAAAGAAACTTCATTCATTTTTGCCATATATATAGTCACACTTGTCCTGATGACCTGCATCAATTGTGTATGGAAAAGGTAGAAATGGGCTATTAACCCAATCTTTTATGACATACACAGCATAGGTATTTCATATCATTTCATTATAAAGATTTATGTAGTCTAATTTTTACCATCCCAAGGTTAGGAATGTAGTTTAATTTCTCATCTAGGCTCTCTGGTGAAAATGAGAGACAGGAACTCCAATGAATCTCCTTTTTATTGAATCACCAGACAGTGCCAAAGGGTGAGATGAGCCACTTCTTCAGAGGTGCTCCATGATCTCTGCTGGCTATCTTGGGTGTCTTGATGTCAAAATGTAGCATTAAATCAAACTTTTCTATAACTAAATTTAGATTAAATACCTGATTCAATTGTCTTGTAAAAGAGAAGAACAAAAGAATTACATTTTTTTTTAATTCTGGACTATCCAACATAATTAAGGTTGAAGGAATACAAATTTATAAACATTTACCCAATCCTTAGGGTTTTTCATTTACTATTCTATTCTAAATTCTAAATTTGAAATGTTTGTTATTAAAATAGTTTGGATAAATTATTTCTAACAAATACATAGATATATTTAGTCAATAGATGAAAGACTCAGTGACAAGTACATTAACATACCTTTTAAGAAGTGCCTTTATTTATCATTAGCTACATTAAGAGAAAAAGATTTATATGTTTCTCTAAAACAGTTTTTCAGTTGAGTTCTATGAGGCTTCAGGTACTATGATGACATGCATTCTGAAAATGCCATAAATTTAATTAGATAGGATATAATAAATATAATTCATGGGTAGTGAGTAGATGAACAAGCAGGTAATTTATAGCTGGGTCTTTACTTTGGAGCCATAGTCTTCTTTAGTCTATGAATTTTGATATTTTCTTACATAGCATGAAAGATAGACATCCATTACACTAGACAGAATTCAAATAATTAATAAAAGAGAAAGAAGGTTATGAAATGAGAGGTTAAGAGAAATTGCACTAAACTAATCAATGTCTCATAGGGGTGGGAGGAAGAGAATGTCAGTGCCATTACCTGTGCTTACACACAGCTAAACATTCTTTCTGTTGCCTTTCCAGGTGACGGTAACACAATTCCTACAAGATTTAATAATACAAGAAAAGAAAAGGAGAGTTCAGAAAGGAAGGTATCAATAGAGAGTATTCCCAGAACAGATCATAAATCCTTTGACAATGGAGGTAATATACTGTAGCATCAGCTTCTCATTGCTGAATGTCATGTGGTAAATTAAATAACTAAATATGCATGCATTAAACTTCCCCATTTTGCATTTGAGTTATTATATGTTTTTTATGTTCTAGACACTCTTTCTCACGTTGAGCCATTAATTATAACAATAAATAATTAGCATTGTTTACAATTATATATTATGCTTATTTTAGGATTGCACTGGAAAAAATACTTTATGCAGATTACAGTTGATTTTGGGAAAGAAAGGGTTCTGTGGATTTATGAAAAAGCAGGCGTAAAGATGCAGACAAATTGGTTAGAGCCTGGTGCTAGTAACACCAAGGACATGGGTTTGATCCCTGTAAGGGCCATTCATTTAAAAGCTGGACTTGGTGATCTTTGTGAGTCCCTTCCAACTCAGAATATTCTGTGACTGTGAGTTTGTGACTGTCTGAAGTCAAAAGGCTTTCAAAAACTGTTATTTTTTTGAGACTATCCATATTTAAGATGAATGAGCTTTGTATTTTTCAGTTATCCTACAGAAAAATAGCAAAACTGCAAGCCTGCAACTTGTCTAACAGGTTGCATAAACTTGGTTCCCTCTGCATAAATTTGGTTCACCTTAATGAAGACACACTGTTTGACCAATTGAGTTCAGTGTTGAAGCATGTCATTAAAGTTGAAGAATGTCCCATTCTCCTTGAATTTGCTTAATACTTTGTGGTATTCAGTCCTTTTTTTCATAAATATTTATTAATGATAAAAATAGTAATAACTGTAGTACTCTTTTTTCTCTCTTAGTTTGTCAATTAAAAATAGAGTAATACCATGCTAGGGCTGCTTGCTCTAGCTTAGAACAAACAGCTGTGTGTCTGCTAGCTCCAGAAAGTAGAAATTAATCTTACATTCTACATCTTTTCCTGTGACCTTTATGTACAAAAGTATCTTTCTTTTTAGATATTCTTTATGTCTGCGTAAACAGTTACCACTGGGCCACAAATCAATAATTGAATCTCTGTTCACAATTATATGTATTTAAAGCTTTTAACAGACTATTTAACAGCTCTGCTTAACAGACTATTTTCTCTAATTTTTGTGGGCCTTATTAAATCAGCTATTTGGTTTCTACTCTCTTCAGCTAAAACCATGCCATTTAAAAAGCAGACTTTGCACTGTTCACCTTTCTCAAGGTGCTCTCACATATTGATAACTGTGAGACTCCTTTCCTACAGGAGGTGGTGGTTTTGTGATGCAGAGGAACACATTTATTAATGGGAACAGATTTGAGGCACTACCTCGGGAAAAAGGACCAATTATATCAAAGTATTCCAATGTGAAAGGTACTTCATTATTATATATTTGCAAATTTTTAGATTAGATTACTATTGCTCCTCTGCAAGTGTGTTGAACATTATATATTTTGTGTAAAACCAATCTGAAGTGAAATTTCCATTAACAGTGTGAATTCTTTCGCTGCAAGATGACAGCAGTTGTTGTATGATATGGTTTAATTCTGCTTCTTTCAGCCAGTTTTCATCTTCTGACAGACTCAATTATGAGTCCCTGCATTACTGAAGTCTTTGATGCTCATGATAGATCATGGGGAATGCTGTGCACTTTCCACTTCATACAAGTAAAACAGATTTGATTCTAGCTAGTATCTCACAGAATGCAGGACTTAATAAAACAAGGAAAAAATATAGTTAAGGAAAGAGCACAACACTTGTGATAGAGTATGCTTATCAAAAACTAGTCACATACAGCAAATTAAAATGCCTACACTAAAGTACCTTAATGATAAGTTTCATCCTTTTCACAGGAGAGTTCCACAATATATTTCTCAATTTACAAAATGTTATTGTGAGTAGATTGTTATCCAGTTCTTTCTTTGCAGTTTTAGAATAAAAAGGGAAAAAAGGACAGATTTTGGTCTCTAAACTATCCCATAAACTGAAGCAGAAATAGAGCATTTCTACTGCATTTTGGCCTGAAATGACAGGAACCAAAAGTGCTTATTTATGTTAGCAGGAAAAAAGGGTGAACAAAGCCCCATCTTCCCAAAGAGTAGCAGGGCCAGGAGAAGAATACTGTGGTTACCTATCAATGCAACTTTTCCTGCGAAGTTCAGGGAAAGTGGGCTTGCCTGTGCAACCAGTGCTGTTGCAAATTTATCTCCTTCATTTGTAGTATTTTTTTATGTTCATCCACTGCACATGTCCAGGGTGTATCCAGATGCTACAGGCAGAAGTCATTCATAGCCAGGCATCCTTTGAAGTGCATGGATAGGTCTCCATGGGCTCAGCCATGGGTGTTCCAGAGGTTCACACCTATGCAGTGTAGAGAAAGGATGCTCTGATTTTTGCATTTAGAGTTAGGTTTTGAGTTGGTCTTCAAGATTTCTTCTGCTAGAGGAAATACAGACACTTTAGCTTTCCTTCTGGGGAATGACACTTATAGAATAATTAACATGTGAGACCATGTTCCACACAAAGGAATCTATTTATTAATTAGGGGATTATAAAATAAAAATACCACAGTATTTTTGGCTATGAACATTTTTTGTGCTTTCTAAAAACTGAATACATGTTATTTTAATTCCTCAGACACAAACTACACTGAACTGGTAAAGGGCCACCACTTTAAGGAAGTAAAGGAAAATAAAAGGATTTCTGAGGAGCGAAGAAATGCAGCTAATGCAGTAACTGGCAAAGGTATTTTGAAAAAATTATCAGCTTATTCATTTCTATTTACTAAACTATGAGATGATTTAGCACTATCTAGTAAATTTCTGTTCTTAGTGTCAAAATGGACAGCCCATACTTGGACTGGTCTATCTACAAAGAGCATTTCTTAGATTTTGTTTGGTCTCCAGTTGCATGCACTATGTAAAATTTTTAATAATAAGACAACCTTTTTGGTTGTATTTTCACTTTTAGGAATTCACACTCCAGACCCCAAAGTAAAACCAAGTTATCAACAAAGGGGTCAAAGTAAGGAGGATGAAACTGTTTCTTCCAGTCCATATGGGAGAGACACTGGAAGATACACTAATTTAAATTCTTCAGAACCTCGACGATCAGCTTATGTAGTCTACCGGACTGTCACTCAAAAGCCAAAATTCAGTGGATCTACAGGTGGGTTCCTGTGTGCACAGAATTCTTAAAATGCCTGTCTATATTGTACTGCACTCAACTGCGTCCCTGCAGCTGAATAATAAGTTATTTATGCTTAAATACAGGCATGAGTAAATTTGATCAATAATAATTTTCACAAGTAGATTTCAGCCATATCCATAGACAGAAATGTAAAGATTTATAAAGCTTTACAGTTTGTCAGACAGAATATTCATGGACAATGTTTGAGCCATCTTTACAGCAGGAATTCATGGATGATGCAATGAAGTAGTGATGTGCACAAATATAGTGATCGCCACTTTTTACAGAATGTCTTATGTAACTTCTTATTTTCAAATATTTAATAAACCTTGAAAATTCCACCTTTAAGCTCTTATTTTATTGTAACTACTTAAAGTAGAAGTATGTTTTGCAGTAGAATTTCAGTTGTGTCTTGAGAAATGTTTCTTGGTCAACCTTATTTTTCCCAGTAGGAAAAATATGCTGCTTGCCTTGCAGCATATATTTCCATAACTGGGATTTCACTGGAGTTTTCATTATTATGAATTTGTATTTATTTTCATTATTTAGAACTTTTTTTTGTCTTGAATAAACAAGGGTTTGGGTCTTATTCACACTTCTGTTATCAATTTAAATACAGTGTAAATATTTGTGTTTAACACTAGTATAATTTTTTTCACATTAATTATGTTGGACAGAGGACTGAATCTATTCTTTCTGCTGCTCATAAAGGATGGCACTTTCCTTCATCTTACTCTACTGTCTTCTTGATGGTACATGCTATGCCATTCATTAATTTGACAAGAAACCTGCAGGTGGGATTCTGAGTCTTCCATCTTTCTTTCTGGCAATCTTCTTCAGATTTATTACACCTTTTGCTTTATTTTTATCTTGCTAACATATATAGCCTCACCCAATCTAGTACATCATTTGGGCTTTATTTGAATTTTCAGTTTCTGTGTCCATGGTTTCTCTGGATAATTTGTTTTTTTTTCATTTGTCATTTTGTCAGCAGATTTAGTGGTAATTTAAATAATCAGAAATCAATAAAGTGATTTCATCTTGCCAGTTTCAGTCATCTCTCTTAGGCTGCGTTTATTCTCCCTTTTGAGGTGCATCCCTGTCTTAATTTCTAACAGGGACCTCCTTCAGACAGAGTAATGCCTCTTTTAAGGTGAATAAAGCGAAACAAATTCCGACATTGGTGCTTTGTCTGAGGACAAATAGTTGTGTCTCTTTTTTCTTTGAATGTTTGCTTTCATTACATGTAGACAAGGTGGTATAAAGATTATAGAGAGAACATTATTTATGTGAAGAATGAATTTTATTAAATTTCCAGGTTAAAAAAGGATAGAACATTTATGAAAAAATAGGAATCAGCATTTTTGTTGATTTTTGTAAGAACAATCATTAACATTTTTGCTGCCTTTCTTTCCAGCAGTACCTGAGTCCTATGGTTTGAAAGGCTCCAAACAAAAGAATCAGCCTGACACCAATAGGAGATTTTGTACCCAAACAGAAAACTATGGTAACATTTGCACATTGTGTATAAAGTGAAAATTGTAGAATTATTACAAAATTAGTAATTTTAATTAATCGCATTAAGATGGAACTAAAATAAGAATATTAATAATATTAATTTTTAATCAATTTTTAAAGAAAATGGTTTGTGATTGGGCAACATATTCTGAGGCACAATCAACTGTCTAGCAAAAAATCCATAATATAGCCTTATATATAAGGCTTTCACAAGGAGGGATAAAACAGAAGCTATTGATGTCTTTGGGAAGGTCTTCAGGCCAGGAATAATCCCTTGTTAAAGCCAAGGATGTTCGTAGCAGAATCTCCTCTTTTGGAAGATCATATGAGCCTCATGGAAATACTACAATATTGCAAACTATCTTTGAAGTTCTAAAGAGTCTGCCTTTAAAACAAGCTTGTATTTCAGAGGCGATGTCTGACTCATCTGATACATTATTTGAAACTTCAGCTAATGCAGTATTTAATTCACATATCAGACTAAGAGACTCTTCCTGAAATTGTGGCTGAAGTTAGGAAACACTGTGTATGTTTTTCCTACAGGCAAATATACTTCAGGATCTTCTAATTCACCAGCTTGGAAGAAGAGAAATCCACAAGCAAAATCATTCTCTAAATTTAAAATAACCACTCAGGTAACTGATAAAAATGGTTATAATTCAGCCTTGTTAGGAGAATTGGCATGTCTCTGCCCACCTAGAAAATGTAAAAGTGCTTGTAAAACTTCCTCATTCAAAACCTGATTCTGATAAATGTTGAGTCGCTGAAAGAGTAGTTAATAGTTTTATTTGTTTTCAGTCATATACCTTTGCCTGCATAATTAACCTGAGATTTCTGGGGTTTTTTAACAATAGTACTTACATGAAAGAAAAGTGTGTACTATAAAGTGCTACAAAAGGCAAATTTTGGATTCTAGCACCAGACAAGCACAGTAGAGACCATATGAGTTTGAACTCTTTCTCTGCTGGATTGTTCATGAAGCTTCAGCAATGGCTGAACGATAAAGAGCTGAAGTCTGAAGCTATGAAAGGACTCAGGCTACAAAATGTTTGCAAGATACCCTAAAGACCATTCATACATTTTACAGCTGCCTTGAAAGCTGAGATTAGAACCTCTATCTCGTGTTTCATGTTGAAATTTTACTTCTTAAAATGTTTCTGAAGGAGAAATTCTTAGTTTTACTCTAAGAATTTATGCACAGAATTTTGTGTATATCTGTTTTGACAGCAGAGTAAAGAAGACATGGAAATGAATAAAAAAGGAGAAAAAGAAACATCTAAATGGAAATAAGGAAATTAGCAACTGGAATATCCAAAGATGAAGAAACTGCAAATTCCAAAAAGAAGGTGCAGGAAGCAAGCACACTATAGTGTTTCAAAACTGGTTAAAGATTCTTAAAAGTATGCTCTGCATGGTGACATATAAAGATCTGTAGCCACTATATTTAATCTACTATAAAATTTTGCAGTTGAAGTTATTTTTACAGACTACGGCTCTACACCATAGACTGATAGCTCATAGAGAAAAAAATCCCTAAGCAGAGTCTTCTCCTGTTTTATTTGATAGATGTTTTAAGGCATAATTCCTAATATGAATAAATACTATTAGTTATACTTAGCAGTTTCAGAGGACTTTTAATGTAAACAGCAAGAGTGTAATGCATGCTAGAATGTGGTTTGCTGGTACAAAAACCAGATTCTTACATGGTTTAGCTGTTTTGCCAGATGTTTGGGGACTCAGTCTGAGTTTGATCTTGAGATTTTCCAATTTTAGCAGAGCATAACTGTGTAATGAACTAAATGAAATTCACAAAAACCTCAGAATTAACTGAGATATGTATTTAAATGTGTTTCAAACTAAAATATGAAAAGTTGTATAAAGACTGAGAGAAAGACTGGTAAGAAGGTTAGGTTAATATTGCTTTCTGTGGAAACAAACCTCTTACTGAAGTGCTACATATACACGACTTCATGTCTTTTTTCTCAGCTGTTTTGTCAGGTTTTTTTGCATTTACTTGACCTTTGGGCATTCTTAGAACATAATCTGTTTTTGTAGAGAGCCCTTCAAACTTCTTTCTGTAACACTAGGATCCAGTAATTATCTTGGTGGCACCTGTAACTGTGAGAATGAAAGCATTTTGCCACCTTGGAACCTTTTCTTCTGTGACTGCTTATTACATGAAGCTGGATCAGACACCTTCCAGGGAACTTCTACCTGAAATAATTCTATTTGTTCTATGAGAAATAGATGTTTCTCTGCCCTACTTGATTATGTCAATAGTGGTGTCATTTTTATTTTTTTTTTGAAATTGAATTTTTAATAATTTAAGTTAGAACATGCTGTACTGATTAAAGACAGGTGTGCAGTTACACATCACTGTTCTTAAGTGAGAGAAGAATAGAAAAATCTAGAGGATTTGGTTTAGCTAAGTAATAATGTACAAAACAAAAAGCATCTTTTAAAAATCAAACACTAGGTGTGTTGGAAATGTTCCCTTCACCTCTAATTAGACATTAGTGTTTCAAATTGTAGCACATGATGCCTTGAAGCAACATTTCATATGTTGTCTCCCTGAGGCAATTTAAAGTCTTAATTCAGAGCACTGTTGTACCAAGTTATTTTTTAGTATCTTGATAAAGGCCTTTAATTTCTTTTTTTTTTTTTTTCACATAAATGAAATATAAATGTTACATTTGCTATTTGTCCAATGTCTCCACAGTTTAGAGTATTAAATTTGATAAGACTAAAAATAGGCATAGGCAAATGTTGTTATGTTGATCTGATTTTAGCATTCCATTTAAAAGGATTTCAATATTCAATTTATGCAGGTGGTTAATATTGTTACTATATGGGTGTATAAGTGTAGACTGTGCTGTGCTGCATATTCTGCCTGCTGACTTGTGCCACACAGATTTCTTACCACAGGAGAAAATCAGCAGCTCCTGCTTGGTACGGGTGATTACACTGCCTGCTGGTCCTCACCTTTATTTAGCAGTGCAGCAAGTTCTCAGGTGGACGCCCTTTCTGTTTGACAGTACAAATGAGAAATAGAGTTGGCTTCTTTGAGAAAATCCTGTAAGAGTTCCAGTGACCAAAATAGGGTAATTTCTCATGGGTGAAATCTGCAGGGTATGCTGGGCTGTGGTCAGAGGACCCATTCGGCTTGGAGCTCCCAGCATCTGAAGGGTCATATGGTTAATTCTACTATCTTCTTTTTCTTTTTAGTGTGGTCTCAAAAAATCAGGCTCTTCAGAGGTTTTTTATAAAATCTGAGCACCTTTCTGACTGGGGTCTTAAAGAACAAGGCACCTCCTTATACAGTTTAACCCACCTCCCTACCCTGACAAAGCAACCCAACAAAACCAAAGCCAAAAGAAAATAATTTTCTAGCATCTTAAGATGTGAATAGCCCAGCAGATGGTTGGGCTAAGTGTCCAGCTCTTCTCAAGGGACAAGGAAATTCAGGAAGAAAAGAATGTGACCACGAGGGTAATATTGGGCCGATCCTCAACTTTTGTGGAATCACAGCTTCAGTACTCTTTTCACTGGAGCTTCCAGTAGAGAAATTACAAATACGGTTCTTTTAGTCATCACTTGCTCAACCGAGGAATTCACAGATACCAAAAAATATCTCAGCATTGCACATTAAATATATGACTTAACAAGATATTTGCAGTTCCTGTGAGGTGTTAGCTGCTCTTGATAGAAATTGAGGAATATTAAGGGATCAAGTGCTTTGTGTGATCAAATTCTTAATTAAGATTTCCCTTTCACAGCTTCAAAGATTCCCTAAAATAATAAAAATACTGGTTTGTTTTCCAGATCACAGACACTTTCCCTGTTATATTGTTTAATCTTGCCTGGTTTTCTCTGTCATTAAAACCCCAGAGAGGAGCCAAAGAAAATGGAGAATATTAAGCATTTCATGCAGTAAAGCCCTAAAGATTGATTGCATTTCTGTACTTCCACATAATCACTGCGTGACAGACCCCACACCCCCCCACTAATTTACACTTATAGTGGTTGAAAATCAGCTCTGAGATAATGAGCCAAAGATCAGAGGTAGAGGACCACTGAAGCAGAGTTGAACTTGCCCTGGTGTTAAGTATGCGTGGCCATGATCTGCTGCTGAATTGGAAGGTCCAGGGGAAATAAGTGATTTGTTGCTTTCATCCTTGACATGTTAAAATATGCTAATGTTTTTCCAGATGATACTTCTAAAAGCATATCAGACATCTAATCTAGGTGCATCATATTCCTTAGTAAATAGAATAACAGTGCTACCGCCTGTATTTTGACAAAAGTTTGCAAAGTTTCCAGTGTCAGATCCTGCATTCCTTAACAGACCTATATGACTAAATTAATAGCACTGACTCCCAGCATCTCAGCAGCACTAATATTTTAAATATTCTGCTTATTAATTAAGGTAGGAAAGTCCATCTCAAGTTAGCACCTGAACAAGAAAAACATTGGTTGTCGTAAAATAAAAATGGAGTAAATTTTTATTTACTCTGGGAATTGTAGACATTGTTTAAAAAGAAGGATTTTGACATTTTTCCCCAATAAATATATTTTCTGATGAAAGCTCCCTTGTACAGCAGTGCATTATGTAAATATATAAATTTATTAAAACACCAACCGAGTCTGTCCCTTATTTAACTGCGTGTTCAGCCACCAGGGGGCGGTGCAGCCCCAGGAATGGGTTCGAACGCCGCCTGCGGGATCCTTCCTTGGATGCGCTTGGCTCCCTCCCTCCAGAGCTAAAGCCTCCCCGCGGTGTTCTGCACGGCCTCCACATTCCGAGAAAAGGCCACAATAGCCTTCTTACGGCCAGCTCGGGGGAGAACTACGACAACCTACATACAAAATTGCTAAATACCATTTTTTTCCTTATAAAACAGAGTGATCATATAACCCTACTGTTCTCTCATTCTACACACTTTCCAAAAGGTGTTTTCTGTTATCTCCTGTGTAGGAGGATGGATTGTGAGAGAACAGTGATAGTGCTGAAAGCACTCCCTGAGGAGTTGCAGCTGTAGTGATTACCAAAGAGTAGGAATAGCCTTGCCTTAAAAAGTCACAGCTGTGTCCAATAAGGATGGGTTATAAAAGAGTGTGTAGCTGGGTAAGAGGAGAGTTAGGAGTTAGTTGGCTGTGCTGCTGTGAGGAGTGAGGGTCAGGTGGTTGTGTAAAGGACAGTATGGACTGGTATGTGCTGCTAGAGACAGAAAGAGTCAGGTGTGTGTGTGTTAGGGACAGGAAGAAGTCAGCCAGCCATGCAGAAGGAAGAGAAAAGGAGTCAGTGCTCTGAGAAGCTGCCTGTGAGAACTCACAGAGAGAAGGTATGTAAGTTTTACAGCAGGATGATAAACTGATGGTGATGGTCATTTCCCATCCACTGTTGATTGGTGCCAAGCACTGACACCAACTTCCTGTTCTGAACTGTTCTCACTGCAAACTTCTCAGGGAAACGGAGAAGTCTTTGAATAGAGGTGTTCCAGACTGAGAGTCTCCTTTAATCTTTCCAGTCTGGAAACATTTTAGATGTTTTTAAATGCCTTTCACTTCATATTTGGGGTATTTTACAAGTGGGAACAATAATAGAAACATGCTACTATGATATATAAAATTTGAGGCAGATGAGATCACAACCATTATGCTTAAAATCCTACTCCCTCTTTCCTTTTTTTACTTCCTGAGAAAAAAATGATGTTAAGCAAGATTAGATAATAAATTGACAGGGCCATTTGAAAAGGTAATATGGACCAAAGCTTGCCCAACTGATCCTCATTGTAATTGCAAGATTTCATTCCTTCTCCTGAAAAAAATTCTTGAATCAAAACTGAAATTGAAAAATCCAGAAAATTTGAAATGGAATGACTAAAGCCAATTGAACTGAGAAGTAATGTGGTGCAGTGAAAAGGACCAAAACTTGCCAAAATTATTCCCTATGAAATCCTTAAAATTAGGGAAGAAAGGTAAATAAAAAGACTGAAGAGAAACAGAGGAATTGAACTTTCTTTTTAATTTCAAGAAATTGAAAAAAAAACCATCAAACCAGGTAAGACAAGAAAACAAAAGCTAATGGGGGTGACAAGAAATGCAGGAATATGGGGCAAAGCTTACCCAATTAATCCTCGTTGAAATCACAATATTTCATTCCCTTTCCTGAAAGGAAATTCTTCCTTTCATTTACCACAAAATTGTTGAGATTAAAAGCTCTTTTGACAGGAGGAAACATACAAGGAAAACTTCACCCTGCACTTATATATGAGAATAACTGCCGTGAGTCTACTCAGAGGATTAGTGAGTGAAATCCTCTGGGAAAACAGTTTTGCTGGTGCTGGCCTTTATGAGCACTGCTCACTTTTTAAACATCACCTCCTAAGATCCCGGGAGAAAGCAATTACTAAGTGTTGTAAGTCAAGCAGATGAGGTAGAAGGCCAGTTTGGCTAAGCAGAGATTTCATTTGGAAATTAAGGAAGGTGTACACCCAGAGGAAGCCAGGTCAGGTGACATGGGAAGAATACAGAGATGCTGCTTGCCACTGTAGTGAAAAAAATTGCATGGCCAAAATTCAGTTGAAGATGAAGCTGGCCAGAACTGTCAGGG